ATATATATATATATATATATATATATATGTATATATATAATATGGAAACAGAAAGACAATTAGTACCGCATTTAAGAAGACCAAAAGCTTCGAAAACAAAAGCATTGCATGAAAAGAAACGAAAAGGTATTTCTACGGTGTGATAGTGATTGAAAACAATAATATCACCTTTCCAGCCAGCGCGACTCCTCTGGGGATCCTCACCGAGGCACTTCTATTAGCCACTCCCCAAGTGAAAGTTTCCGCCGAACTCGTTTCGTGCTTGCCTGTTAACCTGAACAATACGCGCGTTACATAGATACTTTGCTGGCTCTTCACATATATATATGTATTCACATATATATATACATATATATGTATATATATAGTTATTTGGGCCACGACATATTTTCCAATTTTTCGGAGTTTTGCTGATTTAGCCTATGCGGTTCCCTGGATTCCAAAGGTCAGCCCGACAGAGGTCTGTCCCAGGTCGTCACCACGAAAGGCAGTCGCCACCCTTGTGGATCAGAGGTAAATTTGCCATAAAGCGATTAGATTGATACCAGGACGGTGATGGATTCTGGTATTGGTTTACCCTTAGCTGGGTATCCTGATGGAAACACGACTTATTCTCAGCTTGGATGGTCCTGCTTGGGAATGAACCCCTCCGCTGTACATCCCAGCCCAACACCCAGAAACACCGCCCAGCCACAACGAGGCGGCAAACTGTTGGAAAGAATATGCACATTAAGAATCATCAAATGTAAGTTGTAGGATGTTCCACACTGATCAATCCTCTGGAGATTCGTGGCACATTCGACTCCACAAAGGTCGTAGAGATGGTAGATTGTATATTAGGCCTACATAATGCCTTTCGAAAAGCTGTCACTGTTTCAGATCAGTGTTTCATCCTCCCAGACAATTCTCGCATTGATTTTCTCATTCCGAGGAAGAGCATGGCTGGTTTTCTATCTGAAGGGAGGTCGAGCCAGTGATTGTGTATTTTGCTGGGTATCCCTATATTTTTTTATTTTATTTGAATCGTCTTCAAGTCTTCTGTGCGGATCCCAGAACTTCTCACATTCGACTCGTTTCCTCGCACTCATTGTCCACGAAGATCTTCCAACTTTTACGTGGCTTCAGTTACTGCTTGAGAACTACCATTTCATTTTGAATGTGGTAGAATGCTGGTTGAGCCATTCTCCCTGGAACCCTGAGATAACCGGGCTAGAGCGTTCTCAATTGGATCGCAGAGAGCAATTTTTTTCCCAGACAAGTTCGGTACCAATTTTCCTACCCCGGAAGGGTGAGAGGCTTGGTTGGCCTCAGCGGAATCGAACTAACACCATGCTCGCAATGACCTAGTCGGGTAGCCCCAACCTGTGTAATATTTAGTATCACACACTAAGCCCCAATATTCAGCCGGAGATCAGCAGCTCAACATAACTATTTCATTTTAATTTCTTTGCAACAACAGCCTTCACATCTACTGTGCGGATCAAAGCACTTATTAAATCCATCTTCAAGGAAAGTGTTCCAAATTTTAGGTGTGGGTTCGGCTATTGTATGAGGACTGTCCGTTTTAACTCTTTTATTTACTGCCTTTTTCTTCTTAATGGCAGGTTATGTTGCGAAATATAACTCGTATGAAATGCTGAGATATTTGCAAAACACGGGGCAACAGGTGTATGCAGTGGGGAACGAACACGCGCTGTTGTCCTTACCGGGGAGCAGCGCACTTCACCCCGGGTCCCGGATGGTGTAGTGGTGAAGTGCGCTGCTCCCCGGTAAGGACAACAGCGCGTGTTCGTTCTCCATTGCATACAACTGTCTGTTTTCTTTATGGATGTGGTTGAATACAGCTTGAGGTCGATTCTCTCCAGAGTCTTAGGGCAATCGGGCTCGCGCGTTTCCAATTGATTCCAGAGAGTGAACCGCTTGTATAAATATCTGACAGCAACTTTCCGACCTCGGAGGAATGAGAAGCTTGGCGAGCCCAGTGTTCGATCTAAACAAACTGTCGCCTTGATGTACGGCATCACTACCACTGAGCTACACGCCCGTTACCCACATCATAAATAAAAGGATAAAGCTCACGGCGTAGATCAAAGCCTGAAGGATGCGCCATCTTTTTGATTTCATTAAGCAACATTCGGAAGTGGTTGAATGCATATCTGACCCATAAAATAAGCCTCGGTGGCCAACCGATGTATTGAGCCAGTGCTGCAATTCTCACAGGCAAGTCTGGTACCAATTTGCCGACTCCGGAGGGATGGAAGACTTGGTGGGCCATGAGCGCGGCGATCGATTCCACGTGTGTGTTGCGTGTTGTGACCACTACCCCACACGTGCCCTCACATCATAAGTATGTACATTAAACAGGACGCTTCCACTGTTCGCTTGCATTTCGTGGAAAACACTGGGACAAATAAGGATTCATGAACTAATTATTTCCAAAATATGCACTTATCAACATTTTCTTTACCATTCCTTAACCATTTACTGGAACAACTACACGAATGGTCCCAAGTGGCGAATAGAGAGTTACACCCTGATCAAAGGAATGATGACTAAGTTGGCAAAATCCCTCGCCGAGTTTTTAACTTCCAACTTCAAACAGGGCTAATAATGCATTTATTGATCAAAAAAAAACCATTAGAAATATAGACTTTGCCATCTAGCGCCAGTTTATTTTTTTATCGACATTAAGGCCTAAGGTTTTAAAGAACACCAGAGGTATTGTTCGTGATTGATGAACATCTTCTGAGTAGTTGTCAAGGAGTTGGCAAGTGTTTGACAAGCGATCTGATGGGCAAGCTGATAAGACGGAATTTCGTAAATAGCTACATAAAAATTCGTACTGCTCTTCCTCTATACGATAATAGTATCCTCTTCTACAGTTGAAATGTTGCATCAGCTAAGGTGACAGTGAATATCAACTCAGCTTCACAGAACGAGTACCTGTATTTGTTGTCTTCTCCACCGTGTGGATCATAAAGACGAATGCACTCATGATGTGTTGCCGCAAGCTTCGGCATAGCCTAAAATGGAGTTCCTAAGTGAGGTATGCCACATATAACATGTTGAAAAGCTCAGAAAAATTGAAAGCACTGAAAGCAACCAAACGCAAAATATTCCGACGATGACGTATGATATGGAAATCCAATAATTCTCAGCGTACCATCACAACATGCAGTGAAAGTGAGAGTAATGACGCAGGGAACAACCTCCAAAACTGTCCAGAATAATGAAAAAAACGTGAGTGAGCAAGTAGTTTAAGTACCTATAATAGTGGAAAGTTCCCACAACTCCATTCGTGATTGAGTGTTACGGGCGAATAGCATGGAAATCGTCTTCCTAGCTTGACAAAGTTGTTCAGTTAGCTCAGCTCAGTAGAAAGGAGTAACGTGCATTGTGCTTCCACTATATGAAGTCCTTTTCTTACTGGCTTTCGAAGATTGACAACACTGATGCAGATCTCCCAAATTAGCGCTGTAAGAGGCGGAGAGGCGCGACGAATTCCTCCTCCAGAGAGTGTTTATCGTTCGACGCGACACTGAACTACTTTTATTATTCGTTTTACACCACCCATCATCACATCTACTGGGCGGATTCCAGCACTTCCTGCCTTCGTTTCGTTCCCTCGCCACCACACCACCCACAAAGGTCTTCGCGTTTTATTTTTTGAGATAGATTTCAGCTACTCTTTGAGGATTTCGGTTCCTTTGTGAACGTCGTATAATGCTGGTCTAGCGGATTCTCCATACAAGGAGATAGCCTTGTTAATGCGTTCCAATGTGGATCGGACGAGAGCGTTTGGAAGAGGTTTGGACTCTCATTCTTTATGGATGAACTGCATGACTAACCACTGTACTGATTTTACTGTGGTTGAAATGCTTGACTCAAATCTAGACATAAAGCAACGGTATCAACCCGCAGTATCACTAAGGAATAGAACAAAGAAATCATAATGCTAACTTTTTATTTGCTGCTTACTATAATTTTTCATGTCAGAGTATATTGCGAAATACAACCACAATGATGCTGAGATATTTGCAGAGCTCCGGACCACAGGTGTCTGCGGTGGGGAACGAACGCGCTATTAGCCTTTCCAGGGCTAACACGTTCACCAACACACTATCCGAGTCCTTCGATTCGCCTGTCTCTCAGCTGGTTTTAGAACAAAGAATTGTTTTCGAGCACATAGCACCTATGTGCTTCTTAAGGTTCTGTATAACAAAGGTGAGCCCTGCTGACGAGGAAGGTCGCAGGCGCCTGCCAGCAGTAAGTGACAATAGTTTCACGACGACAATCAAAGTCAGCAATTCAGAGATGTTTAACGGGTAGTGGAAAAACCAACATTCTCAGTCCAACAATTGTTTAGCATTTGGAAACGATAGAAAAATGAAAAAGCTGAACAAGTGGCTAATGAATGGAACATAGATCGGCGGCAGAAAATCTATTCCGCGTCGTTTTTTTTTCAACAAAAACTATCCATTTTTGATCGCACGTGACGTACGATGAAAAGAAATCCTTTACGAAGAGCGACTATGTTCGGTTTAGCGGATGGAGAAAAACGAAACTGTTGAGTATTTTCCCAAAAACGTACTTTTACGGTAACTTTTTCTTATCGGCAAATGAAACCATATAATAGGATGTCTTCGGCCAAGGCTAAACGTTTACAACAGAGAAGTGATGTCATGAAAACGATAAAATGCTACAATAATTTTGGTATATGTATGCAAAAGTTGAACGAGTTGAAGGTAATTCTTCTTCAACCACACCCAACATACTGTTTGACCTTTAACTAACCCAACTCCCAGTCTTCTCAAGCATCTCGATGACAAGCCGCTGGAGAAGTCTTCCATAATCAATTGGCTGCAGGAAAGGCTTCGAATAACTCATCGTTTACAGATCCTCGGAAATCTATCCTATCGGTGTTATCCATACAAGTGAACCTTCATTTTGTTGGAAAATGATTCGAAAAAATTCTGGTTTAACTGCTTAATTGTCAAGTCAAATAGAGGTGTGTCACGTGTCGTTTTATAATCAGTTAGACTACACATAATACGAGAAAAAAGAGTGAAACAATGCTCAATTCTTGAAGATCGAAGTGCTGAAGCACCCCATATGAACAAAAATAGCGTTAATCCAAAAAATTCTAAAACAAACTCACAGCTTCGATGACAGCTAGACCCCCGTCAGAGCGCATCTTATCGGTGGAGAAATTGCAGTGACACCCGGAACCATTCCAATCACCTTTGGTTACCTAAATGAACACAAAGCAAAAATTATATTATATTATAATCAGCTGTTCTAAATTTCCTCATTGGAAGTCACGAAAAAGCGGCTCTGAAGAAGGCGATACTGCCGTCAGCTAGCGTTGTATTGTATTATGTTTTTATGGAAGTAAATGTATGCTGTTTAAAAACCTCGCGATTGCTGAACAAGAAAACGACACAAAGCAAAAACTTTTCAAAATACGAGGGAGATCAAAATTGCGCAGTGGTTAATGATACAGTCGATCGGGAAGCAAGGAAGCCAGTTCCGCCCTCTCCCTAACGTTCTCCTCTGTGAACTCTGTTTTGTGACCCATTCTATTCATATTGGTTTAATTTAGTTGGTAATGAAATGCCTACCTTCACATCGAATCCAAGACATTTCCTCTCCATCAGTAGGCACTTCTTTTTGTGAAGTTTTGGAGCGGCTTTATATTATAGTACTCTGCTAAGCTTTCACGCACCACAGACAGTCGCCGCCTCTAGTTGATCAGAAAGAGATTTACCACTTTATGACTAGTTCACTGTGAGGACTGCGATGATTCTTCGCATTCGGTTGTTTTTATCCCGGTTTACGGATAAAAAAGTGGAGCGCACCCTGAATATGGGTGAGATTCATTGTATATTGCAGATGGACACCTTGTACCCAATAACATCGAATCTTTCAGGGGCCACGACGACAAGGATAAACCACTGCAAAGGTGGTCCGGGTATTCTAAAATTATGAACCGATAGTGGAAATCATCGAAACCATCAACGCTGACTTTTTTGTAGCACATGTTTACCCACAAAAAAATCGATGCATTTACCAACCATTGTGATATAGAGTGACAGCACTTATCGCCAACAAAAATTTAAAAATTAACTGCTTGTAAAATCGACTTTTTACGGCAGATGATCAAGCGCAGTGCGAAACAAAAGCCATAGCAGATGAGTATCCAACAAAACCTTGGCATTTCTGGGAAAAAAGAAAGGTTTGAGGAAGAAAATATGTTTGTGTAGAGACAGAGACGTCTATGAGTCCATTTATATAAGCAGTAGTTCATGGCCATGTGAAGAGGTATGCGACAATGTCAGCAGTGTTACCGTATACTTTCAACTCCACTCAGTAATAAAGATATTCCTTGTATTTGATTTCTTGAGGACAAAACTTGACGCTATAAGAGGATGTATAGAATGACGTAGCAAAGCTACAACTGCAAAACGTTCTCCGACGTAGAAGAAGCTAAATTTTGAATTCATCAATGCATGGTCAGACAAAATAATATCTTCCATTGTAGTAACCGTATTTACTTCATAAAAAAAGGATAGAGCTCTCAGCGTTGATCAGTCCCCCTTGAAGGATGCGCCATGCACTCGTCTTCATTAAGAATCATTTGGAGGCGATTGAATACATATCTGGCCTTTATAATAACTCGCGGTGGGCTACCGATGTATCAAGGCTGTGCTGCTATCCTCAGAGGCAAGTCTGGTACCAATTTGCCAACTTCGGAGGGATGGGAGGGCTTGGTGAGCCACGTGCGCGGGGATCGATTCCATGTGTGTGTTGCAGGACACCTCCAACCACTGCGCCACACTCGCACTTTACTTATTTTATAGGATTTGAAATTAAGGCCGTCCTGCTCGTTAGGAACTCGCGTTTATATTGCACTTGGTTGCAAAATTCAGACATTATGTCGTATTTTAGCATCTGGAGATGCGATTTCTAAAAAATTATGAGGACTCAGTTGGAGCATGAACTGCATAAAACGTTGAATAACTCAGTATATTAACAGAAATTAGAAAATAAACTTGAACTGCCCTGTATTAAAAAGACATGACACTTCAATGATTTGAAAATAGCTTCTGTTGGAGACAAAGAATCATCGTCACACCTGTTTTTACTAGCGGATGATATGCTTGAGAAAAAGTCACACATCCTATAAAGTCTAAAATCTAACCTGCGGTTTCGGATGGAATGTAACAGATACACCAAACTGTTCAGCTACACGATGAAGAAGATAACGAGCCATCCATAACTGATCCCCCATCGTGATTCCCTTGCACGTTCCGAGTTGGAATTCCCATTGCCCAGGAGTTACTTCTGAAGTGTAAAATTTGTAACTTTTTATAAATTATTTCATTTATAAGCGTCTGTAAATACGTAGCAAGTCTCCTGCACTTCGTTTTGTGGAAAATAAGTTTCGGTTCTGAATTTAACCTCCAAATACAAATTAAGAACATAATTCACTATTTTCATGATCAACAAACATCACAATGTTATTACGTTCTTTTTATTCACAAAGAAGCTCACGTTTCGGCGGATCTCGCCTTCTTCAGAGCCTAGGATCAAGTTGACTGCAATCTACTCATCAAAACACCTCCATAATCTGAATAGAAAACTTTGGAAAGCTTGATTTTAATCGTATTAGATGAAAAACACTTTCTTCACACACTCGCTGTCTTCTATGAGTCCTCCAATGAGTATTCCACGAGAAGCTCAATGTATAGACCAGGTGGTGTAGTGGTGAAGTGCGCTGCTCCCCGGTAAGGACAACAGCGCGTGTTCGTTCCCCACTGCATACACCTGTGGTCCGGAGTTTTGCAAATATCTCAGCATTTCATATCAATGTATAGAGTTCACATAGATAGCTAGTGTGCGTCTCTCATACTGAAATATCAGTCTGGGACGCCGTTGGAGAGCATGTCGTACAAAAATGTATTCCTATTTGCAGTTCATTTGGATTACTAGAACTTATCCAGAATACTTCCAGAGTTTTGCGCGTTGATGTCTTCGATTACTGTGCGAAGATGGTAATTTCTACTTCAAAATCTTCCCTTGATATGTAGCTGTGTCCTATGGGCGCCTAGTGGAACACGGAGATTTGGTTTAACTTTAAGTTTACGGACTAGGTGTTCCTTTGTACAAAACCAGAGTGGTCTACCCATTTCGCCAATGTATTCTTCCCAGCATACTTCACAAGAGATCAAGTAAACCATGTCTGAACTCAAGGAATCATCGTCTCTACAGCTAGAGAATGTCATTCAATTTTGCACTGTGCATTGACGGTGGTCACACAAGCGGTGACAAACTAGCTGGCGACTTAGTGTATTTCTATATTTCAATAATTACTATCGAATCCTCCACGCTAGCCCGTTTAGAGCAACGTTTATTAGCTGTACTTGATAAGCAGAACTTTATTCTAGTTAGAATCACCATTTCAAGGCGTGGTTTTCCTCTACAGATATCCCGAGCTACAGTTTCATTACTAATGGAAGTGGCTATTTGCCGCGCTAACTTCATGTATTCTTCCCTGTACACTCAACCTCTGCATTGGTGGCCGTTCGAAACATGCATCTTAGAAACGCTCTTTTTGCGTCAGGAGTGAGAGGAGAGGCAATGGACCAGTATGTTTTTGTTATTCAGTTTTCAATACCACTCCCTGATATAGCCCTTTTCCGTTATATTATTTCAACGTTTAGAAATGGAAGCCAATTTTCCTTTTGTTTTTCACGACTAGACTGAATATAGTCTAACTGTTTATTCAACAATTCAAAACGTTTTTTCCATCTCTGTGGGTCAGATGGCAAATACATCTACAGTAAAGCAATGTGACTAAGAACGGTTACTGGTGCTTCCATCTTAGAAAGAAATGCAATGGAAATGCTTGGGCTTGGTGCCAGTCGTTCTTCCACTGCCAACTGTTTCATTTTTACGTAAGATTTTCCACCCAGTCTGAAGATTAAGCAGTTTAGGCACTTTTTTAGACTGCTGAAATATGAAGCCATATATATCTATTACTCTTCTCTGTTGCATAAGGTGTTCGAGGACGACTTTCATGGTGAAGTCATTCGACATGTTTGCATGAAGGGCGGTTACGTCGAACGTCTGCATCATGTACGCGCTCTAAGGACGCTCGTTATGTAGAGGATCCAGGAACATTTAGGCATTCCTGAGATGAGATTTTATCAGGTTTATGAATTAAGCTATTCTGCCCGTGAGTCCGGCTAGACAACTGATGATAAGTCTAGCCTAGAACGTTGAGGTAACCTTAGAGGCAACGATGTCAGTGGATAACAACTTATGACTTTCGATAATCAAATTAGCAAGAGTCAAACTAAGGTCGATAACGTTCCAAAGAGTCAGAGGTCACCGCAATAGAAGCTATGACTCTCACTGACGATGCACACTCGTTACTGGGTCCAATTTCCTCACCAGCGCCACCCATTTCTAAGGAACTCCTTCGTAGGACCGCATGCAATCAATATAATCTTCAAGATCGACTCCCCTACAGAGCTAGAATCGAAACATTAAATAAGAACGAAAAAACAAAATGTGCAGTAATAGCACCACCGTCTTTTCCTCAAGTGTTCCTTAGACAGCGAAACCCGAACGGCGAAGCAGACATAAACTCTCACATATTTTCGGACGACACTCCCAGGTTACTCAACTACTATCACTAGAGTAAATTTAGTTCCAATCTCACAGCAGCGTAATGTTGCATAGAAGACGTTCAACAACCGACAAGGTCAAAAACTATGAGACTATTTCGAAACCGACTTTACTTGAACCTCGGTATCACTAATCAATATGTATTCTTTCTTTGATGGGCTCACGTGAGTCTGATAATGATATTTATTTTCGGCTAACGTTTCGACGTCTTCGTCTTACTTAGAGCCGATGATCCGAGTCGATGGTCCACGCTTGTTATTCGTCTCGACGTGGCAGCCTCGCCTTCGTGTAGTCAGGTCTTCCTCAGCGAGCCATCTCCTCGAATGAGGCATCCTCACTCAGTGATGCCCTTTTATGCAGGTTGTTGATGGTGGATAGCTGTGATTGTCCGGTTATAGTGTGATAATAACTTGTTTTTCCCGGACAATCAAACCTGCAGAAGTCGGTGTTATTATCAGCTAGCACAAAGCGTAGTAATATTTCGAAACAAACTTTCCTTAAACCTCGGTATCACTACTCAATATGTATTCTTTCTTTGATGAGCTTACACGAGGTTGATACTGATATTTATTTTCCGCTAACGTTTCCATCAGCAACCTGCATAAAATGGCATCACTGAGTGAGGATGCCTCATTCGAGGAGATGGCTCACTGAGGAAGGAAGACCTGAGTCGACACGAAGGCGAAGCTGCCACCCACGTCGAGACGAATAACAAGCGTGGACCATCGATTCGGATCATCGGCTCTGAGGAAGACGAAGACGTCGAAATGTTAGCCGGAAATAAATATCATTATCAACCTCGCATAAGCTCATCAAAGAAAGAATACATATGAGACTATTATTTAACGAAAAAGATAAACAGCTTATAGTGATTTCTCGTCAGTCAGACGCTGAGATAACGTAGAAATCCTTTGAAGACGCTTCCCCTTATCGTTCATCATCTGAAAAGGAATTCAGAACCCAATGCAAAAAAATTGAACAATGAATAAGTTAAAGTGGCCACCACGGCAGGTTTAAAACCATCAGTTACTTCACAACTTCACAACTTAGAATTGAATTACCGACATCTCTTGTCTTATAAATACTTATGAAATTTCGTAATTTTCTATCCACCAATGATCTCTGGTCTACCAATCTATCATTACTCAAAGTTACACCCACCATTAGTTGTGCAGACGCACCCACCGACAGAACAACCTGGTTTATAAAGCTAATTCTCATCCAGTTGCTGAAACACATCCCTGATCATCTCACGAATACGCAAACGTTCCTGGATCGTCTACGTCACGCACGTCCTAACACCACCTACGTTATAGGCTCCTTCGACGCTTCCACCCTTTATACAAACGTATAGAATGGCTCCATTATGCAAGTCATCCTCGAACACCTCATACAACAGCATAAAACGATAAAGGATAAAGCCATCGGCGTTGAACAATCCCTGAGGAATGCGCCATTCATTCGGCGACCAAGGAGGGATGGAAGGCTTGGTGGGCCAAGGGCGTGCCCATCGATCTTTGAAAAAAAGCAACTTTCCATTTCTTAACGCCCAAATTAACCTATCCGAAGACGCCTGCATTATAATGTGGTAACGAAAGCCAAGTAAAAAACCATTCTGGTTCATTAGCACTCCTCTCATCCGTCATACACCACAAAGGCAGTTTTAAGAAACATGTTTCGAGCAACCACCAGTAGTGTGTGCACAGGAAGAGAGCAGAAGGAATCCTTGAAATTAGCACGAAAAATAGCCACTCCGAATGTTTGTGAAACCGTAGATCCTAGGGATAGCTGTAGAAGAAAAAACAATGCTCTCAAACGGTAATTCTCAAAGGGATAAGATCCCATATACCCTGCTATTTCCAATGAAATAAATTAACAGAAAACGTTCCTTGAAAAGAGCAGGTCTAGGGAACTTGTTATCAATGAATCTCTTCACCGAGCTCTGTAAGACGCCAGCCTGCACGATCGTCTACGCATATAATATGCCCTCTCAGTGGAGGTGATGGATGATTGCATGAGTTCACGTACAGTTTATTTGATCTCTTGCAAAGCGTGCGGAGACCAATACATTGGCGAAATAGTCGGCAAGTTTAAAGTTAAACCAAATGCTCCACTAAGCGCGCATAGGACATGGAAACTTAAGAGGGGAAAGTTTTGAAGTATGAGTTACCATTCTGGCGCCGGAATCTAATGCATCAGCGCGCAAAACTCTCAAAGTATTCTGGATAAAAAATCTATTAATGAAGAATGCCTCATTGTCACCCGTGGTCTGACGCAATATGTAAGACTAGTACTTTAGCGTATTTTAATCAGAAAGGCATGCTACCAAACCATGTGAACTATGTGCGGTTGGTCTCCACGTGACTAAGTTGAAGACTCATATAAAACTGTGAATGTGAGAAGCTGATTTTTTTCAATCCGATTGAGATCCTGTTTTCGTGCCTTTTTGTCTTGATGATGAAGATGCTTGGCTGAGTAGGTTACAGTCAACTTGACCATTCCAGGCTCTGAAGAGAGCGAGGTCTGCCGAAACGTCAACTTTTTTGTGAATAAAAAGAATAAAACAACTGTACCTTGTTTATAAGTTTGTAGCCGAAGTTAATAGAAAATCGGTCAAAAACATATAGTAGCTTATAACAGTCTTCCTTATTGTGAACGAATACCATTATAACTTATTCAGCGTTGTCTTAAAGAAGGAAGGTCGTTTGTTGTTCACAATGGGAAGACTCTAGGTACCCTTAAAGCCATTTCAGTAATCATAATTCTTAAAGAATTTCGCTGCAACTAGGTATCGAAGTGCATAAAAAGCTGGCAAAAGGTTAACGAGAAAAACGGTGAGCATGGTCGACAGGCCGAATTTTGCATCATCATACTCACATTTTGTTACAGCCTTGCTTGTGCAAACTATGGAATGACGCCGTCGTACAACATAATTGGTTCATTTTAGTTGGTAAATGTCAATTGCAAGCCTTGCAGTTCTTCAGGCAGCACGCCGGTCTACGCACGTCTCTGTTTTGCTTATTTGGCCAAGATTTCAAAAAATATTTTGGATAACCTCACTTTCTGGGGAGTGTGTAGAGCGGTGGTAGTGATCTCGTTCATTACACGGACAACCCAACCTGCTCAAACGCCAGTCCAACCCCATGCCGCCCCCGCTAGGTCATTTAACCCTCCGGTGTTGGAAGATTGGTACCACACTAGTTTGGGATAAGCTCAGTCTCTCTAGTCAACGTAGGAACGCTGGCACGACTCTTCCAGAAGTCCAGGAAGCAACCATTCTACCGACATTGAGCGACATTCGTCCATAAGACGAAAGCATCATCAAGTATCAAAATCCACATGTAAAAAAGTTCAAACACCTTCGTGGATAGTGAATGCGAGAAAAGGAATCGAATGCAAGAAGTGCAGGAACACGCACAAAGTGATACAAGTTATGATGTATGACGAAATAATTTTTAATACATTTCATATGCCGAGCGTGAAAAACCCGTTACTAATTTTTTTTCTCGTACAAATTTGACACCTGCATGTGCTTCAGTATTTCATTTTCGTCTATCCTTGAACAGAACGACGGGGGTTGTCCTGTCGCATTATATTAAACCGCGTTTCATAATGTCCTCCACCAGGACTGGTGCGATTCTCTTGACTGGAGCGGGCAGCAACCGAGGACGTTTGCGATGCATTTCGTCAACTTGCTGGACGGACCTCTCGGCCATAATTGTTTCACCCGAATTAAGGAATATGGGACGGATCAGGCCACCAGAAAACCACCAAAGATTATCGTGACATCCTTTTTGTACAATTTAGGCCTTAGGAAGCGCTGCCACGCTTCATCGCAGTCCAATTACTAAGCCGATAGGAGCCAGTTATTACAGAGGGTCCATTTCTCGTAGCACCTCACAATATTGTCGACAGACAGATCTTTCATCGTGCGCAGAAGAAGTTCCGAAGATACGTCAAAATGATGATTTCTTCGGTTGTCATACAATATTTTCGACAGTTGTTTGTCAAGCTTTTTCGACTTTTCAATTCACTTTGGATGCTTCGCAACAGTAGTGTGGCTAACAGTGAGTTCTTCTGAAAGTTCTTGAGCAGTTGTTTGCGTACTTGCTTACAGCGAATCTTTCAGTTCATGGTCTTCAGTAGCAGAACCACATCCGTGATCTCCCCACCTTGAAGGTCGAATTCGTCACAAGTTTTTCCAAACCAACGTTGCCATGTGCACCCGTTAACACTTCGTCGGCCCCACATCTCATTAATATTTTGAGCCGTTTTTGATACACCAAAAGTCTGAATTCGTAAAAGTGAGTCATTGCTGTTTTGACAGCTCAAATTATAGGTCGTAGAATTTTTTAAATTTAGAACACAAATGAATAGCACTTGGTAAAAGAGCATAAAACGAGCTTTGCAATGAAATATAAGAAAGCTCGAAATAAAATTATTGCTAAAATATATACAACAGAAACATAGTTATAAATTTTGCATTAATTTCAGAACGAGAGATCGGTTCCTACATGTCCATGAGTAATATAGTCTCCGAATCAACAAGCAGGAAGATGGGATGGAAGAATCGTTAGCGGAAACATGTTTTCCTCGGATCCATATCATGTTGAAGAGCTGGAAACGCCGTTATAAGTTTACATCAGGACCTTAGCGAAATCAAATTGCTCATCAAGCAATACGTCAACCTCAGTACCACGCACACTGGGTGCTCCCGTGTTTCACGTCGGGCGGTCAGAGGCCATAAAATCTCGGGTTCTCGGTATACAAGGATGTCTCGGACGGGAACACAAGCACGACACGCTATGGAGATTGTTTCTTACTCTTCAGGGTACGATGCCAAAACATTTCCCTTAGATGTTGACCTTCACACCCTTCTCGAAGTTTTCGATAGCATTAAATTCCATATGATTACCCCACAAAAAGTATAAAGCTGGAAGACGAAAACGTCAATCAAACATCGGAACCCTTGCCACTAGCTGAGAAAAGCTCCCGAAATCACGTCACGAAATGTCGTTGCCGTAGGGTTTGTCTTCCAACCGTCCATAATCCATGATGGTAATGAAGACGTGGTCTGATCTTCTTGCTTGAAGAATTGAGGCGAATTCGGCACGACTTCTAAGTCCTTCGATTAAGAGCTCGTGGTCTTCGGTTGACTTTTATTTAAAATGCCAGTCACGTTTGGATAGCATTTGGCTCAAAATATTCGCGTCACATACAACTAGACTTTTTTTTCTTGGTCGGTGACATAAATTCTATCCCAGCTTTTGAGTAGATCGCGCGAAGAAGGCGGTTATCGGACTTAATACAGAATAATGGGGCTAGAAATGCGCCGAAGTAGCCACTATCTACTAATTACGTGAATACCGTGTGTCGGAAGGAATAAAGAAGCTTATAGTTCAGCAGCTTATCGCTTTTTCGTGGCCTGACTTTTATGAGGTATTATCGTCATCGCAGGAATGGAAGATTTATATGGCTTGAGGAGCCCCAATTTGTAATCAATATTGCAATTGTCGGGCTTTTTTTAAGGTAGTTCGTCAGTGCTTGGCCTAATTATGTTGAATTGAATTCATTTTAATAATGGCCATAGTCACAGGAAGAAAGCTGAAACTGACCTAAATCGACTTCCCATCTTTCAAATCAATATTTATTTTCACATCCTTCTGAACGTCTCCACCTTTTTCTCGAGAATTCAACAGGAATTTAGGTTAGTCGCATTACAGACGAACACTTTTCTGGCTTGCTCAGTCCCTGTTCTTAAGTGTTGAAGCAACACAAGAGACGGTAATCAATCTGACTTCAGCCCATCTGCGCTATAACGAAAGTGGGGTGTGTTTTCTGGAGTCCGTCCGCAACTCCAATATCAAAATTCAAAAAATTTCATGTCTTCCATTTTCTGAGGACTTTTCTTATAATGCGAAATATAACTTCAATGATGCTGGGATACTTACAAAACTCCGGACCGCAGGTGTCTGCGGTGGGGAACCAACGCGAGCGCCATTGTCCTTTCCGAAGCGTAACGCGTTCACCACCACACCATGCGGGTCCTTCGTTTCGCCTGTCTCTCGGCTAGTTCTATCTATCTCTACCATCAGCAATCAACCGTATCAGCACTAATGAAGTTATATTTCGCAATATACCCCTATTAAAAGGAGTAGGCAGTAAATAATACGGTTAAGATTATGATTATAACTAAAGCCTCAACTTAACTGGGTTCATTGCTTATTTGGGCTTCCCAGATCAATCCCGCTAACGGATGATTGCTGATGGCAAAAAAGATCGATAGAACTAGATGAGAGACAGACGAAACAAAGGACCCGCATGGTGTGGTGGTGAAGGCGTTACTGCCCGGAAAGGAAAATAGCGCATCCGTTCGGCACCATAGACACCTGCGGTCCGGAATTTTGCAAATATCTCAGCATCATCGAAATCACTTTTCATTTTGTTAAACCTTGCTCTACACTTTTTGTCTTAAAGTTTCTGCGATGTCTTTTGCCAATTTTATGTTCATAGAGCATGAATAGAGCAAAAATAAATGGATAAACGAAAGCACAAACAGTTTTTAAGACAACGATTTTTCTGTGTAGTGCGATGGACATTGTCGAAATTTCAGCGTTGCATATGTCCCGCAAATGGTGACGACCTCGTGGAAAAGCGCTTATTTAAAAAGTTCCATGAAAATATAAGGGCCCTGAAAAGGAAAGAGTCCGGAAAGATCCCGCTCTCGCAGAAAATGACTCTTACTTACTAAGACAGGCCCACAACATTTCTTTCAATCGTTTCTTTGTACTACATTCCCGTTTCACAACATTTTAAAGGGGAACGTAGAGCGAGTTTTTATAATGCCCAAAAATTTTTATGAATATGATACTACATTGAGCTGATAATTTGTTAAATCCTGCTTCACTTACCAAACTTAACTCTAAATGACAAGGAAAAGATCATACCGGCGTTGATTCCAAAAATGGATAATCCGGCGTGAAGACAAGCACGGTAATGTGCATTAACAACTTCCCGACCAAACACCTTGTTTGCGCCAACACCACAATAGTAGGGTCCTAGAAAAGGCAAAAAAACCATAAAAAACACATGCCACTTCTAAAGTCACTACTGCAAGTTTCTTCTGGGCAACTACTTTCACGAATCCATCAGTCATCAGCTGTTCACTGTTACAGAATTTTTTCCATTGCTTCGTTTACGTAGATAATATCGTGTAAGATGGGCTTCTATAAGCTTCAAACGACTATAGAAACCAACCTTTCGGAGCTGGATAACCGTGCTTTGGCCAACCAAGAGGATAGCCGTCTAGATCCAAAAGTAAGTACTCTTGTTCCATACCAAACCAAGGATTTAAGTGGTCCACTTTCTCCATAACTTCCGCACAAGCACTTCGATGGTTCGTTGCTGAATTATAAATGATAAAAAATGGACAAGGAGATAATGATAAAAGAAGGATAAAGCACTCGGCGTCGAGAATGTTTGAGCTGCTCAATCTTCAGATGGTCCGTAAAGTACTACGGTCAAATAAGAGGGTTGGCAATGGGACAACGACCGGCTCCAAGCCTCGCCATTGTATTTGTGTCTAAGGTGGAAGCACCGGTGACTGATCTCGGGCCGCTACTCTACTGTAGGTATGTAGACGACTGCTTTGTCCTTTGCTCAGTACAAGAGGAAATGGACAAATGTTTCGAGTTATTAAACGCACAGTAAGTGTACATCAAGTTCACCCGAGAAAAGCCGAAAGAAAAAATGCCTTCCATTCCTGAACATATAAATTCACCTATCAGAAAATGGCTACATTACAAAGTGGTACCGAAAGCCAAGTAGTAAAAACATCTTGTGATACTCTTTTGTTTTCTGCCTACTTAATTTCGCGGCAGGGTACTAAGCGAAGTACAACCACAACGTTGCTGAGATATTTGCAAAACTCTGGACCGAAGGTGTCTATGGTGGGGAACGGACGCGCTATTGTCCTCTCCGTGGAGTAACGCGTTAACCACCACACCATGCGGGTCCTTCATTTCGTCTGTCTCTCAGCTATTTCTATCGATCGCCTTGGAAAGGGCAACAACGCGTTCGTTCCCCACCATAGACACCTGCGGTCCAGAGTTTTGCAAATATCTCAGCAACGTTGTGGTTGTGTTTCGCTTAGTAGCCTGCCGCGAAATTATAGTAGGCAGAAAACAAAAAGGTATATCATTGTGATTTGAACTACAACCGCAGCTCAACTGGGTTCTATGTCGATTTGGGCGCCCCAGATCAATCCCGCTGACGGGTGATTGCTGTGGCAAAGATCGATAGAAATAGCTGAGGGTCAGGCGAAACGAAGGAGCCGCATGGTGTGGTGGTGAACGCGTTACTCTCCGGAAAGGACAATAGCGCGTCCATTCCCCACCATAGACACCTGCGGTCCAGAGTTTTGCAAATATCTCAAAAACACCTTGGTTCATTACCTCTCCTCTCGCCTCTCTCACACGAAAAGGGCGCTTATAAGAAACATGTTTCGAACAGCAACCAACGTTTGTACGGGTAGAGAGCAGAGAGAGAGGAGTCCCGGAACTTGGCACGGCAAATAGCCATTTCTAATGGCTACGAAACTGTAGCTCAGAATAGGTGTAGAGGAAATCCTAGACCTCCAAACGACAACTCTAGCGATAGAAGGGTCCCGTTTATCCTACCCTCCATTTCAAATGATATAAGTACAGCTAGAAAACGCTGCCTAAGAAGGGCGGGTTTAGAAAATTCGGTAAGCGTAGTTGAAATACCACCGAGTAATCTTAAGCGCCAGCTAGTTCGTAACCGCCTATATGACCGTCTATGTGCAACTCAAAATTGCATAATTTGCCCCAGTGGTAGAGACGGTGATTGCATGAGCTCGGGTATAGTTTATCTGATCTCCTGTAAGACGTGTGGTGACGAATACATTGGCGAAACGGGTAGACCCCTCTATGTCCGCATGAAAGAACACCTAGCCGGCAAACTTAGACCAAATACCCCGCTAGGCACGCATAGGACCCAGAGACATAACGGGGAGTACTTTAGAGTATGTGTCACGATCCTCGCACGCGAATCAAGAACACAGGCGCGAAAAACTCTTGAGGGATTCTGGATTAATTCCATAAATCCGAAAATGAACCGCAGGGAAGAATGCCTCATTATCACGCGTGATATAGGGCAGTATATAAGACTGCTATTGTGATGGGAGGGGCACATTATGCTTCTATGTGGTTTCTGTGCGGTTGGTCTCTATGCGACATACTTAGTGGAAACTTCATAGAAAGCGGTGAGCGTGCAAAGCTGTGTTCAAAGTGATTGAAATCTTGGTTTAGAGTTTCCTTGTTTGGTTATGGAGGCGTCTGGCCGAGTAGATTGCTATCAACTTGACCTTTCCAAGCTCTGAGGAGGACAAAATCCGTCGAAACGCCAGCTTCTTCGTGAATAAACAATAATAACACCTCGCCTTTGCTCAACAAAAATACGAAGAATCACTCGGCGTTATTTAATCCCTAAGGAATGCGCCGTACATTCAACTTCATTAAGTATCGTTGGAGGTGATTGAATGCATATTTAGCCTCTACAATGACTTGCGGTGGCCTACCGATGTATCGAGCCACTGCTGCTATCCTCCCAGACAAGTCTGGTACCAATTTGCCGACCCCGGAGGGGTGGAAGGGTTCGTGAACCATGGGAGCGGGAATCGATTCCACATGTGTGTCGCCGTGACGCCTCCAACCACTGGGCCACACGCGCCCCTAGGGAGATAATGACAACATTGAAACGTTGTCGCTTCCCTATCACTCTCGAATCATGTATGTATAAGCACATGTACCCGCAGCTACGGTTATTTTACAAATCACGTTATGCGACTCGCATGCGTTACCGCTATCATGCTCGAACAAAACCACCACCATGTACGATGATCACGAGGGAAGGAAACGAATTGCAAATGTGCTGGAGTCGGCACAACTCATGATGACGGACCATCCTAGTAAGTACATTCACATTTAAAAGAGAAAGTCGTGATTCATATGTATTATATAAAACAGAAATATGACAAGATCCCGCAACAAAGTTGATTTTGAAGAATTGTAGAGTAACACTGATGAAGCGAACAAAGCGTTTAGTAGCCAAATGTCACCCTGACTTCACGAGAAACTCCAAGCTGCTGTAGTATCGTGTTACGTGCTTTATAGTGCAACAATTATCCTTTATAAAAGATTATCTGATAACAGCATATCGTTGACGCACTCTTCTCAGATTATCGTAGCATCAGAAGCATTTAAAAGTTTCCTTCAATACTTCACTTTCAAAAGCTTCTCTTCAGTCAACGGTAAAAAGCGCTTAAAGAGCTACGTAACAATGAAGTTCCTATCCCTTTTCTCGAATACATGTTAACTAAAAATCTTCTACTAGAAGTAGACAGTGAAATTTTCGGTAGCTTTTCATAGAACTTCATTTCGCTGACGTTTGAAAAAACAACCGCTTGCACACATGGAGCGTAATGAAGCAAGGTGGTCGCGGTCTACTACACAAAGGGTTCTATTTAAGTAAAACGCAACCATCTGCAATATTTAATCATGGAAAGTGCACATACAAAAAAAACTAAATTCTAACAATGTTTACTCCACATTGCAGTAAACCTTGAGACTTTATGACTGTTAGACCCTCATCACAGGTAAAAAAAAATATGTAACAAACTAACGAGTCGGCTTTTTATTGGCATCCAATGCTTCGCACAGCACGAGCTTGTGATTGCCTCCGAGAAATGGATCTGGATACACAGCAACAGCCTGAATAAAACGAAGATGAGGAGAGATATTTTGGAATAGTTTAGTTCAATGTCCAGCCTAGGACAAGCGAGTTCCTGCACCTCTCCGGGATCAACAAACTGGCACCAGACTTATCTGGGACGATAAAAACATTGAACTATTTGGTTGACCAACTAGGTAGCGCAAGTCACTGTATAAAGCAAGATCTGCAGCCATCCACCTCTACGACAGCCTATTTGATATAATGTATAGCGCATCCATAAGAGATTGATAAACGTTCAATGCTTCATCCTTTTATCATTTGGTACAGATTAGTTGATTTAACATATGTCCAGATTATGGAGGAAAAACAGACATGTGAAAAAATAGGACAGTTTCTAATGAGGAAAATACTGGACGTATCAATCCTGACGAGAAGGTATTTTGAGAAAGACTGCAAGAATTCTTTTCATCAGAGTAATATTGACTGCAACAGATAGCCGCCGGGATGTCAACTTGCCCTCAGATGCGTGTCGGAATCGTTGCCTTTTGCTGCTTGATAAGTAGATGAACCATCGAAACTCCACATCGGGTAGTCTGGAAGAAGCACGATGGAAAAAATTACGAGAAAATACAAATACCACATCGTTTATGTTGTTGTTTAAGAATGGAAGCCAGTTTAAAATCCAAATAAAGCTCAGAAAGTGGCTACATAACAAAATGATATCACAAGTCAAGTAGTAAAAACATCCTAGTTCACTGTCTCTCCTCTCATCCTTCACACATGAAAAAAGCACTTATCAAAAACATGTATTCGTACGGCTAAAAATGTGTGTACAGGAGAAGAGGAAAGGAAGGAATCGCGAAGCCTGGCACGAAAAATTGCCATTTCCAATGGCTACGAAGTAGAAGCCACTCGGGTTAGAGGAAAACATTGGGTAGTTTCCCAAAATAATATTTCAGATGAAAGTAGGATCCCCTTTAAGCTGCCCTTCATATCAAATGAAGTAAGTCACGCCATTAAAAAGTGCTTAAGAAAAAGTGGCCTTGAAAATTATGTAACGATTGTTGACGTCCCACCCAATACCCTACGCCGCCAGTTAGTTCGAAACCGTCTCTATGATCGTTTGTGCACCTCAGAAAACTGTATGATCTGTCCTAACGGGAGAGACGGGGATTGCATGAGTTTAGGTATAATATACTTGATCTCATGTAATTCATGCGACGAGGAATATATCGGGGAAACGGGTAGACCACTTTGTGTCCGCATAAAAGAACATCTGGATGGGAAAGCTAAAATCCGTTTAAACATCCCTCTAGGTACGCATAGGGCACAAAAGCACAACGGCGATGATTTTGAAGTGAATGTGCGGATCCTAGCGCAGGAATCAAAAACATCAACGCGCAAAACTCTTGAGGCGTTTTGGATAAATTTCAAAAATCCAAAGATGAACCGGAAGGACGAATGCCTCACTATCACGCGTGACCTGGCGCCCAATTTCAAAATGATATTTTGACCCCGGGGCGTGTCTTGCTCGCGACTCCACGTGAACTACGTGTGGGCCAGTCCCGCACGTAACATCACGGTGAGTGGCCTTTCTGTTCAATATGGCGTCTATTTGAAAGTTTGATCTTCATTAATACTTTAACCTTCTTTTCCACCGAATAATAAAAAGTATTCTAACATAAAGTACGTCCAGGCTTTGCGGAAGGCGAGGTCGCCGAAACGTCAGCCATCGATCAATAACATCAAAAACAACGACAACGACAACGAAGATCTGTACCAACCTCGCGTCAGCTTAAGAAGATCAGTTTATAAGATCACATAAAAAAAGTGCATTTGCGATCGATCCCCGCGCCCAAGGCTCACCAAGTCTTGCATCCCTCCGGGATGGGCAGATTGGTACCAGACTTGTCTAGGAGGATAGCAGCACTGGCTCGATACATCGGTAGGCCACCACGAGTCAATGTAAAGACCGGATATGCATTCAACCACCTCCAACGATGCTTAATGAAGTCGAAAAACTAGAGCAAAGAAATCTACAGAACGGATCGAAAACGTGCAATCACTACTGTCAGAGCGGTCCAATGCCAATTTAACTGCATAGAATGCTTCATGAGATCTTTCATCTACCGACAGCCGAAAAGCAGTTAGTAGACATTCAGTCGACTTAAGTGCATGCGGTGGCTAGCGATCTACCGTTGTCGAATAAGTAAGCTTCCTGTCGTAAAAGTGTGCAATTTTAACCACGACTATTTCGAAAGTTAAAGTGTACTATAACTTGAGATATGTGCACTTAGAATTTAACGGAGTAAGCCGCGATTATTTTTCAAGAGATTAGTTGGACCAAGTATCCTAGAAGTAAAAATGTTGTAATTTCATAATCATCCAATTATGACCACTACGACGTCCCGGAAGCTCACGAGTTACCTACTGCACTATTGAGGCATTTGCTTTGCCTTTCTTTCAGCTAGTTTTCTATCTAACAGTGCCATCAGAAACCAGCCGCCAATAGGAATGATCTGAGGAGCACAAATCGGTATGAAACCCAGTTGAGCTGAGGCCATAGTCCAAATTGTTATGCTTAACCTTTTTACAGCGCGATATGATGGGAAATACAACCACTATGAAGCTGAGATATTTACAAAACTTGGACCCCACGCCTGATTCGAACCCGTGATTACCCGACCACGGGTGATGGCTGGTGGTACCATTAGTTAGGAAACTGATTGCGAGAAAGGCAAAGCAAGGGCCTTCTGCCGTGAAAACTAATAACAGGCAGTAAATAAAAAAGTTAAATATCCAATTTTATATTCAAGTCCTCCAACGGCTTTGTGCATTCGTTCCAGCCGACGTGATGGCATTATTTTTAACTCTGCTCAAAGGGGCAAAAAATCGCTGACACACGTACGTTCAGCAACTTTCGACTCTTTGTCAAGTGTTCTCGTTTTCTCTCGCAAATTCTCTCCCGTTCCATCGATCCAAATGTAGGTAGCCTGAAAGAAAAAGCAGTAGCTGCCAAGATTCAGGTCTCAGCGATTCCCGACGAGCACAAACTCATGATTTGAATAGTTAACGCACTCAAACTGATAGCACAGCGTGTTACAAACACTCTAAAAGTGATCAAAGCAGATCCAACGAACATTCCTGACCTTCTTTCAAATATCTGCCACGCCTTCATGAAGCAAAAAAGTGCTAGTTAATTACAAAGTAGCGGAAGTCTTAGTGTAGATAAGTTGACCTTATTAGAATAATATACCTCATAGAAGAATTTTACCTTATTTCACGGTTTTCTAATAATTGAGTGAGACTTCAATTGAAGTCATTCTGATTAAATTTTCATATTTCGTTCAAGTGGACCGTTTTAACAGCTCCATAGGACCAACCAAGTATTTATTATCAGGAATCTTGATGTCAAGAGTCTGATTGACAACCGGAGTTCCGAGTGGGAGCGACACCTGGTAGTTGATCCTGCGAGTAGCGAACTTCCTGATGCTGAGTGGGCTGCGCAGAGCTCTTCGAATTGCCAGCATGTTCTACAAAGAACTGAGTCTGTGGAAGAATTGTATCCACGGAGAACAAACGATGCAATTCGACAATGAAAGGCGAAAATGGACGGACGAATAGAGGAAAACGCAAATGAAAATTGTGGATGTTGGATGAAAAAAGACTATTGCATTTCTCATGATAGAAGGATTCAACTTCGCCGTAGTCGAAGTAAATACTTCCAATGAAAGGTTGGAGGATTAAAAAATTTTTCATATATTGAGCTAAGCTTCAATACGGTTAGTATTAGGCGGTAAGAAAATGTACATTTAAATAGTCAACTAATGTCTAACGCAAAAAACAAATGTCTTACACTTGAAGAAGGCAATAATTTATTCAAATATTTTCACAAATTTCCACTCTTTATCCATATCAAAGTCGCGTGTGGCGTAGTGGTCGGAGGTGCCCTGCACCACACACGTGGAATCGATCCCCGCAGCCACGACCCACCAAGCGTTCTATCCCTTCGGGGTCGGCAAATTAGCACCAGACTTGTCTGTGAGAATAGCAGCACTGGCTTTATACATCGGCAGGCAACCACGAGTCTTTATAGAGGCCACGTATGCATTCGATCACCTCCAAACGATGCTTAATGAAGTCGAATGCACGGCACATCCCTCAGGGATTGATCAATGCAGACAGCTTTATCTCTTTTTTTTTTTTTACCAAACCACACTTCCGACAGAAGTAAAACGCAGTTTTTTAGAATTTTCTCTACCAGACTAGCTTCTTGGTAGTTTTACCCCATATTTACCTAATGGAATGATTTGTTTCAAATGTCGACTTGAGTGTTTCGGTCTCTGAAATGAATCCATCCTCCCATTTATCAATTAGACAGCGGTTACAAAATTTGACTAAGTGCTGAACGTTGACGTAGTCCATTCCCGCTTGTTCGGGAAGACGGTGAAAGTAGAACAACAACAAATCGCAAGAACCTGGATCTCATCGTAAATGAGAGCGAGAACAAATTAAAGGATACACAATACTCCAACCACAATGCCACTATTATTAAACAATTCGCTTCAGAAAAAGACCTAGACTAGATTTCATTATTAATCCTTATCGTTCTTATCTCCCCTTTTTAAAAACTCCTAGAAGTTGTTCAGGTGAACTGGAAACTCAAGAGTACATTACTTAGTGCTTAGTGAAATGCACCAACGTTGTTTCCTCTTATTTGCCCGAAATAAAACTACCGTTGTTCAAGAATGGCCCTAAAGGCTTTTCTTTTAACATTCTATGGAGACAGTCACCACATTCAGAAGCCTAACATTGCTGTTGATGAAACTTGGTGACTACAAACAGAAATGGCCACTTAGTTTCATTGTCGGAAACACCCATCTCTATAAAGCTTCAGCGTTCATTAACTAAAACATTTTTAAACATTATTAGAGTCTGGAAAGGTTTAATAACGATTTCCAATGAGAATAAAGCAATAAAACTGACAAAATGAAAGCTGGTGTGGAGGCTTTAATAGTGGATTTTTAGAGTTCTAAAACGAGATGGATCCCATGAAGGGTCATCCAACATGAAAAGAAATCCCTCACGGTTTTTTAAAATGAAGAACTTCTTTTACATAAGACCCTATTTATTGTTACAATACATCGGTCGTTTTCCATTTCTGTGCGCTTTTATTAAGGAAGAGGAGCAACGAATAATGATGGTATGGGAAGGTGTTGTTCTAGAAAAGACAGAGATTTGTAAAGCCCTGTGAAAAACCAAAAAAGAAGTAGAAGGAAGAGGAAAGTGTTGGCAGGATTCCAACTAACATTTATCCTCTGAATTTAATCACAAGAATTCCCTAACTCTTGACAATACAACACTTGAAATAAGAGACCAAACCTTTTGAGGAACACTGAGGCTCACTGTTAGCTGTTGATTTTGGTAAAAGTCCATTCCACCATTGAAAGAAATATTCCGGACGTACATTCTCGTGCATTATGAAGCGACTCGCGGTAATAGTGAGACGCTATCCCATTAATTTTAATCGCAAGAATAGCGCTCATATTGAAAAAAGACGATAAGAGTCCAGTTGATACCACCGAGAAGAACAACTGACTAACCGACTGACTAATCGTTGCAAATGCTGGTGTAAGAACATCTTGCAAAAGTACAAGTTCGCTTTGCGTGCAATTAGCACACTTTTTGTCGTAACCAAAAAAGTGCAATGAAGTGTTTAAATAAGCCATACGTGAGTAGTTTGAAGTAACGGTTAAGTGACAGAGCAATCAAAGTTGATCAGTCCATCAGAGGTGCTCTTTGCATCCGACTTCATTGAGTATAGTACAAGTGGGAGAATGCATATTTAGCTTATATAATGACGACAGTAACCAACTGTGCGGCAAGTCATGGTTTTTATCCACGTAAATAAGTCTGCAACTCATTTGTCGACCCCGGAGGGTGGAACACTTGCTGCACTCGGAGCGCAGGGTCGAACCACTTCGACCAACCTAGTGTGTAGTGCACAGCACTATGTAACTACTGTGATATACGCATTCATTTGTCTTACGCGCTAGTTTTCTTTTTATTCTTATTACTTAAAAAATAACCGTCACAGAAAAAAATGCTCGACCTGAAATGGCTTTGTTGCTGTTCATTGCCTCTCCTCTCACGCTAACACACCAAAAGGGCGTTTGTGCGCAGGGAGAGAGCAAAAAGAAAGATCTCTGGAATTGGCGCGGCAAACAGTCATTCCTAATGGGTACGAAACTGTAGATCCTCGGGATAGATGTAGAGGAAAACCACGCCCCTAAAAACGTTGTTTAAGAAGGGCCGGTCTAGAGAATTCGGTAACAGTGGTAAAAATATCACCAGACACGTTAAGACGCAAATTAGTCCGTAACTTCCTATATAATCGCGCAACAAAAATTGCATAACATGTCCTAACGGTAGAGACGGTGATTGCACGAGTTCGGGTACGGTGCACGTAAACTCTTGTGAAACGTGCGGTGACGAATACTCTAGCGAAACTGGTTGACCACTCTGTATCCGCTTAAAAGAACACCTAGTCGGTGAATATAAATTGAAACTAAACTCCATTAAGCGAATTATTGATCAATGCCGAGGTTAACAGAAAGTCGGTCCTCAGATTTGCTAGTGGGAATATTCCCACTGTGCCCCATTTGATGGGAGAGATAAGTTGGTGGAGGATGGATGCATCCAGAAAAAGTTGTTAATTACATGTTATGAGAATTACAGTATGACAAAAAAAGGAAAGTTTCTACCTTATTTTCCATCTTACGTATGTCAGACATTTTGCGTTCACGCTCACACGTAAAATTTACGCACCGCAACGGACGTGTGGAAGACGTCTGCAGCGACAACATTGCCGTTAACTTTCGCATCACCTAGGATTCTGGGAACATTCGAGGATGAAATCAGGTCATTTATTAGCCAGACATAATGTGCGCCACTGTTTCCCTTCTTTGAAAACAAGGAAAGGATTGCATCGCAACTGCTGAAAAAAAGAACATTACTGATTGAACATTGACGGGACAGGAAAGGAATTCCATTGGCGTTCAGAATTCATTAAGATGGTCTTCAATTCAACGAGCTGCACAATTATGTTCGCATTGTAAAGGTGTTCAGAAGCAACAGAACGGGACTGGTTCGTCTTTAGCAAAAATATTTTTGTTCACTAAAGTGGAAATGAGAGTGACACGAACGACTGCAAGGAAACTGCGCATGAGGAAATCATAAAGCAATACGTTGAGTAATGAATGAACGCCTTTTTCTAGGCGAAATCAAAACAATTCCTCAAAATATTGAAACGGAAACATCTTCTCTTGCAAGTGAAGAACTCGGAACTCCTTTCAAACTTGGCAACTTTGGTTAGGCCAGTAGTTTTCAGTGGTGCATGAAATGTCCCATGTGATCAGCGAAAGGGGCACATTGAAACGGATTATATTGCTAGTAAGATGAATTTGGTTACTTAGGTGCACTAATGGTGTAAGAAAGGATAACGATAAATGCAGTGATGGAGCAGAATGGAAACGGTAAGGTAGAAGTTATGAAGAAAAACCTGCACATTAACGAGAATCTTCACGAAAATGTAGAGTCTAATTCTGCACCATGATACCATTGCAATTGCATCATTCAAAACCAGTTGAGTTAAACAAATCCTGCACTTCAATTTTTATTGCGTTTCACCTTTAAGCCATCAAGAAGATCTTCCTAGACGAGAAATCTCTGGAATTTTGTTCCTGTACAATAGTCACAACTTCAGTAGCCTGACCAACCATCACTAATTAGAGAGAACTAATGATCCGAACTCCAGCACAAGAAAATGGGAGTTGAGAGCAAATGAAAAGCTTCATATCCATTTCATCTGACTGAAATTGAATCTCACGATTTGAGATCTAAGAAGTGAAGAGGACTTCTGGGTCTGTCTGTTATGTACTTTAGAACCCCTGAGGAAAGCCATAGTGATCGAATGAAGGAAAAAGTATGGATAAACAGCCGAAGGAAGATTAGAGGAAGTGAGAGAGAAGGAGAGAGAGGTGGAGAGAGCGAATGAGCTGAAGACCAATGCAGAATGAGAACTGAGAGCAAGCAAATAACTTTATACTCATTTAACTTAATTGAAACCTACATCTTGGGATCTAAGCAACGGCAATGACAGCTAGGAATTTTGTGATGGATCGTAGAGCTTTTCCAAACAGCGATGGTGAATCGAATGGATGTAAAAGTACATGTACAACGAGTGGACCGAACGCACGACGGCGTTCTCGTTGTGCAGCAAGTGCGGTTGGGCGGACCTGCGATCGATGTCCGTCTGGACTCCGTCCGTCATCCACGACAATATGCTGTTGAACCAACGTGATCTCCTCGTTCAGTCGCACGCCGTACTCAGTTTAAAGTGCTACTGTCCGATGTGAGCAACATTTCGGATGCGTATCACGGTTTTCACGACCAACCAATTTCTTTAGCCTATCAGCTCGTAGTACTGGCATAATTTGTACTTTTGTGATCTGCACTAGCACTAATATAAGCACAATCACTACTAGTGTGGTTTCTGTACTCAGTATTTGATGTCACGTACATCGTACTGCAGTGCTGTAGTGCCGTAAGAGATATAGCATAAACAACCAAATCAGATCACTAGCCAACAAACAAGGAAGAAAAAGCAGTTCCGCTTCCTACTAATGAGATTGAGAATTTGAAAACGACTCTTATGTCCTCATGATGACAAGACGGCTGACATCAACAGCTAAAAAGGCTGGATTTACACGTTATTCGGTGCAAGTGCACTGAAGCGCTATTCACAACGTCAGCTCAATGACGATGTCCGAACACAGCGTATAACTGGGCAATATCTTGCATCCGAAAAACTTCTGGCATTTCCACTGTCCTAGATACCAACGTGCAAGCTTTTTAGACCGGTAATTAGGTAAATGACGGATGTCGTTGTTTATATTGTCAGTAATCATTTTGTTTATTATGGCAGGGCTACTGACCTCGAAAGGAAATCGTAATGCTTACGACTGTGATCAACAGCGTGTCGTTGAATTAACGATATTTCAACTTCAAGCTTATACTTAGTAAATATTTAGCACTCTTCTGAAGTGGAATCACATGGCTCAGCGTTAGGAATGGATATGAGCGTTTTTATATGAATGAGGTACTCTATCTGCCTGGCACCTCCTGGCATAGTAAAAAGTGGGGCTTTTGCTGAAAAATTTCCGAGAATTCTGAAAACTGGAAGAGTTGTCAAGGCGAACTAAGAGAGATAAGAGGTGATGTGAGTGAAAGTAACGAATTATGGGAAATCACAACATGCTTTCGTTTTATCACCTATTTTCACGTGATCATCATGTGATATGGGTAGGCGATCGCATAAAATGTTTTTCTATTCTTCGATTCTTCTTTTGATTCGTAGGACTTGTCCTTCTCACTCAGTGTGGACAAGGAGCGTCGTATTTTCCCTTCAAGATCCTCGCCACGAAGTCTAGCTACCTTCTTCGTGTTTTACCTGTCTTTAGTCGCTAATTCGAATGTCGAGCGATTGCCCGCAAGAACCACCAAATCTATAGCACTTCTGATTTTCGACATTTTGATGTGAACGGAGTCACATGCGACCTTTTATAGTCGACTGAGTTTGGAAGTTCGGTTCCTCTTCCTCATTTGGGTTGTATGATATGCTTGATATCTCTGGTCGATGCCCCAACCTGCTTAGGTAGCCGCCAGGTTTTTATGACGCACATTGACATAATGGACGATGCGGGTATCCATACGTGGCGCTCCGAACGACTGGTATTATCTCCACGGGAGTCGTTTCCTTTTTGATGGGTTATTTTGCGGCGCAGAGCTTACATCGTAATTTTGCAATCATTTTGTTGCTCACTGCAAGTAGAAGGAACTGGACGAAGAAATCATTCTCTACACTTCGTGATTTCCAAAAAACATTTTTTCGGAGGCGCTCAATGACCGTTAATTTGTTAAATTAAAAGTTGATAAAAAAAACTAATCGACTAATTCAATGTTTTTTTCAATAAGCAGACACGAGGTTGTTATTATAGAATTTATTAGGATACAATAGCTGACGTTTCGGCGGTTTCGCCACAACCTTATGTCTGCTTATTGAAGAAAAACATTGAATTATCAATTAATGCCGAGGTTAACAGAAAGTCGGTCTTGGGAATTGCTACGTGAAGTGCCAGCAGAATATTCGACTAATGTTTCAGCGCCATCGCCTTCCACCAGAATTGCAGCCGGGTTGAACTCAATCGATTACCCACAGTTGTGCATCCTTTCGATATGGGTCTTCATGATCCCATTGGAAGGAGGAATAACTTTGAACAATCGACCCAGATCAGTTAGGCTCTAAATAAGGCTAAGGCGCTGAAACGTTAACTGAAGAGGGTGTTTTTACCAGTAAGATAAAACAGTAATTATTTGAATGTGTCGTTTTCTTGTTCATCAATCGCGAGGTTTTTAAACAGCATACATTTACTTCCATAGAAAAACCACAAAACCACATGAAGCGCAGTCGCCAACCACATGAGACTATAATCAGCTGTTCCAAACTTCCTCATTGGAAGTCACGTAAAAAGCGGTGAGTTTTTCGAGAAGCTGTTGATCATGTAACTACCAAAGAGTCTTTCGTCTTTGTGTAAGTGTTATTGAAGCGTTTGGCCTAGTAGATTGTATATCAGTATTCCCTTCCAGGCTCTGAAGAAGGCGATACTGCCGAAACGTCAGCTAGCGTTGTACTGTATTGTGTTTTTCTATGGAACTAAATGTATGCTGTTTAAAAACCTCGCGATTGCTTAACAAGTAATTATTTGGTTAATAGATTTCACCATTGTATGAAATATTAAGCATAGTTCCTGGAAGTTTTCATGAGGTGCCTATTTAAAATAGCCAGGCTACCTTTCAACTTGTTATGGGTTGTATGGGTTTATTCTTGTGTGCTGCGAAATAATAGGTCGTTTTTGTTTGCTCACGGTTTGTAGTCGTCATCAAATCCATTTAGATTATGGGTATCTGAAAAGATTCGCTACACGTCGACCCTTAGTGTCAATCGTTTACTTCACCATTTTATCTGAAAGAGATAGCCGAACAAGCAATTATCACCTAGATCACCTTCGTCCCCACTAATTGTTCAATACCTCGAGCAAGAGCCGGTTATTTATTCGCCCAACACTACATTTGTGTCTGCTGCGTGAAAGAACAGCCCAGTGATTTCAGCTCGCTCGAAGGACTAACTGAGCATCACATTTTTAAAGATCTTCGTGAACAATTCTTATCAGTGAGGCACTTGTCTTCCCAATCTGCGCTTGTTGCTGGGAGACAGTGGTTAATGAGATAATAGATCTTTCATCGTTAAATTGGGTAAGAACCTCAGATTCCCTCTCTCACTTACATGATACGGGTTACCTTCAGCATCGCCCGCTCGATCGTGCGCTCGAGAGCGCTAAAAGAATATTCACTTTGCTCGCGTATCATTCAGGTTTTTAAAGCGCACGTCTGCTATGTTAGAAAAAAAGTAAAGGCAAATATATAGGCACCAAGCATGCTGTTTTTCGTCTTGTTTATCTAGTCCTCGAATTCTTGAAGATTTCCTAAGTCTCTTTGTTCTTACTGCTCACTTTGGATCTAACCTGTTGATTATGTTGAGTTTCCGACCCCTATACATAATGATGGATGCATCTTTATAGGTACATCTAAAGATATTTTTCCGTTGTACGTGAGTGGGGCATAAGAACTGTGTTATGCCGAGGTGCCGAGAGCATCACCAGTGTTATAGGAATTATGTTATGACTAGAGCGAAGATAGCATATTTAATTTTAATAATGAGCTCATACGAGCTTGTTATGAAAGACTGGTTAAGAAAGTTGTGGCTAACGTTTCAGCGTTTTGGCCTTGTTCAGAATCGCAATGAATCGAATTGGACTTCCACTGCAATTATTGCTAGCGATGTGTCTTCGTCACCGCATAGAGTCGAATTCAGTTTAGTGCAACACCACACGAAGAAAAAAAGAGGATCGTTCTCACCTCATCGATTTTACTCCCTTGTCGGCCTCAACCTAATGTTCTGAAGAAGGGTCATAACAGTTTGGGCGAGATTGCATCGTCTTCTCAAGCTCTTTACACATCGCCAACGTTAATGTCATTTTAAATTAGTGGAATTCTGGTCAACCGCTTTTTTCTCAAATAATGGCTTTTCCTAAGGTAGTAAATGTGAGATAAAATAAACTCTTGTGTCCTGCACCGAATCGTCTTCGGAATTTTTTCTTTTTGGTATTGCTTTTCTTTGTTAGTGGTCTGTCAGTCTCGCGGAGGATTACCCGAATTAATAGCACCTAGACAACAGAGAGCAGGCATATTGGTGGGTAGTTGCCAGTTTCGTGTAGGGCTTCAACTACACCATTTTTTTGATCTTTCACTGAAAGAAAACTTTGCATTCTTGCCGACGGCATGTGAAGCGGCAAGCCAGCATTTTGATGAAGAGTGGCGGAAAATTCTTCAGATGTTCTGCTTTAACTCCGTCAGGATCGGGTTCACCGACGAGATAGCATGTCGATTTTCAAAAGAACGAAGTAGTATGAAGACGCAACTGTACTGTTAGATTTGTTTACAGGCAGCAAGATGTGACTGTTGAAGAGATTAGAAGTCAGAATTAAAGTCATGAATAATTTTCTCCGTTGCATTTCTAGAGGCCGTAACTGTTCTGTTTGTGCATCGGAGTCTGATCGTCTTGAATTTGCTTATTGACGAAGCTTCGGACAGCGTTGCGATTGTTCTTTCCAACTTCTCGGCCACTACTGTTTCTTTTCCCTAATAAAGCTTTTTTGTCGGTTTTTTGCATTGTTTTGCAAGTTCGGGAGTAAGCTAGCGATTACCTGCGGCACACCATCAATGTGAGGACGTTAGATAAGTGGGTCGTATTCCTCGTCGATGGTGTCGACAAAGCCGTCCTCCCATGAACCAAATAATGAGCTGAATAAATCCCAGTTTGGGGAGATTTTGAAACGCCGTTTTTTGAGTTCTGTGACTTTCTTTCTTTTCTATAGAAAAAGAACATTTGATGAGAGAGGCGATGGAACAGTTTAACGTTTTAAAGAAATCAATTGCCAAACTCGTGATCAAGAAAGCGCCAGAGCACCAGGCTCTTTTGCTGTAGCATATTCCATTAAAGAGCCATTCTTCGTTATTATAAACGGCATAGTTGACGCTTTCCCGTCTGCACTGGTCCAATAATGTCGTTCTTAATCTCCTTAACTTCTATTATCAGTTTTTCAGCAGGTGATTCAAGTAGCATTATAGGCATTTACCTTAGTCTATCCAGATTTATAGAGTCCATAATGGTCCAAAAGGCACATAGCACAGAGGTAATTATGTCGGTCATGCTGAATACTGCGCTTGTTCGACCTAGCTCTCTCATAAGGCATACCATCCTTCCAAGGTCGGAGAATTGGTAGCAGACTTCTCTTGAGGTAGTTTTCTCCAA